AGTGCGTTCTAATCAACCAGTTTACAGTTGAACAGTGTCGATCGACCCAGTGAGTAAGGTAACCTGTCTATTTCAAATAAAAACTAAAGAGATTTATATTCAACTAGAAAAATTTAATGCTACTTGGCGGGGGGTAAAAATAACTGAATAAGACGCAGCACTGAGTTCATTGTGTTTAAAGTGTATGCAGAGCTATTAATATGAAAGCAGGGTGCGAGTGAGTTCACGAGTGCAGAAGAGTCGGTGCAACTGAGAGCATCATTAAGCTAGCTATCGAAACGGGTGGATAGATTCAATGTTCTGTATACATTTCATGGTATACAACTAAGGGCATCTTTCTAACAAACTATCTGAAGAGAAGAGGCTTGAGGGCTGTAAGGAGGACGAATAGTACAATAGCAATTAAAGTGTCAAACTACGTTTAGCGAAAGCTAGTTTGTCCCGTGCTAGTCAGCGAAGTTTTGCCGTGACTGGGAGTCTGCGGGTGACGATGTGATGTGCCTCTCTTTGGTTACCGGTGGCCTCTCCTCGATAGGTCTAGTTAGCTTGGGGAATTACTTAAGTAAAGCATGAAGTGAATTATCATGACAAGGAAATGCACCCGTTATTCGATAGGTACCTGTTTTGTGTTTGAGATCCGTGAATTTACCAATACAGGAAGTAACGATTAACGACAGCCTACTAGAATTGACTAGCAGTTCATAGTGATCCAGGAAATGGATACCGAGTATGGCTGAGGGGATATCCGCAAGGATGAACGTCCATAGATACAGTCATCGGCGACTCGGGTTAGTCGTTAGTCGTCGTGAACCGTAAGTAGGAGTGACAGAGCAATTCGCAGTGCGTAGTCGAGGCGTCGTAGTGAAATAAACTTAAAATAACAAGATAAACAGATGAGGAATTGAGAAGTTTAGGATTTAAAAGAAAACAAAGAGTGAATACACCTGTTCCATTTCTAACGGTTTTGAGCCATGTCATTCAGAGTCTACGGCTATCGATTACTATCATCTCGCGGACCCCAACCAGTTAGTCTATACTTACCAGCATGACTTCATGGATTAGTGCCATGTTTTCGTTTGGCCGCCCATAGCTTTCTTCCAATCTACTCCTACGTTGCAAAATATAGTCCTGCGAGGCATTCGGTGGTTAGGCATGCGTAACACATGTCCTAACCACCTCAACTGATGAAGTTTCACCACTTCATCTATTGACTTGCCATCCTTACCTAGGACCCGTTTCCTAGCAACAACATTTTTTACTCGGTTTACCCATGATACACGAGTAGTGTTTCGGAGACAGCTATGATTGAAAACCAGTAACCTACGAATATCTTCTACTCTCACTGGCCATGTTTCACAGCCATAAAGTAAGAGGAGCGAACCACTGCGCAGTACACTAGTCCTTTAGTCAGCAAACGGATATCTCGCCTTCGCCATAAGTGACGCATGTTGGCAAAAGCCAATCGACCCTCTGTATCCCTGCTGAGATTTCGTTAGTCACCAGGACATCAGCTCAGAGAAGACTCCCCAGATAATTTTAGCGGTCTACACTTTCGACTACTTCACTCCCTTATCACTTGTTCAGGTGCAGATGGAACCCAATCTTGAAGCAACATTTTGTATTTAGCCGGAGTGAATCGCATCCCGAACATGCTTTCATTGTTGGTTAGAAAAGTCAGGTGATACTGCATTTTGTCAGTGTCTTCACCAAATAGAATTATGTTATCGGCGTATTCTAAGTCAACTTATGAATCCCCTAGTAGAAGGTCTGCTCCCGAAAATTCAGACAAAGATAATGTTATATCTGAGAGCATGTCCATGACAAAATGAACCGAAAATGGAGAGAGTAGATATCCCAGATGAATACCACTTGAAGTAAAGAATTCCGATAACAGTTCGCCATAAGCTCTCACTCGACCAGTAGTGTTCCAGTAGTGAGATTGTATAAAGTTTTGTACTTCTTCGGCACATCTTTCAATGTCAGACACTGCCAAAGAAACGCACAATTGACAGAGTCCTGCCGACTTTAGGTCAAGGAAGACAACTATATGTGTTTTTGTGTTCCAGGACATGACGTAGTGTGACCTATACATCCACGTCCAGGTCCAAAAGCAGCCTCTTTTTCCCTAGTCTGCTCTTCACGAGCTCATGCTAGAAGTCCGAGTATTATTGAGGCCAATATTTTCGATACTACATTAGTTAAACTTATTTCTCTGTGATTAACACGAGAGGACTTTCGTCCCGTTTTGTAGACTGAGATTATCAGTGGTTGATACTAGTCAAATGGGACTATGCCAAGTTCCTAGATTCTACTTCAGATCCCAGTCAATCTAACTTAAAACTGGACCACTATCCTATAAAATCTTAGGGATAAGCCTATCAGGACCCGCTGCTCTCGCTTACTTCAGATTTACGACAGCTTTTTCAAATTCATAAGGACTCGGAGGATGGAGATATTGGGCAATCAGAATGTGGCTGAGGGCCAATGGAACTGATCCTAAAACTGTTCTGCCCATCTATTCAGTCTCCTGGATTGAGAATCGATAGTAAGACCATCCTTTTCCGAAATATTGAAACTCATATTCGGGTTTCTAATACCAGTTTCCTTGATGAGTATGAATATTTGCCTACTGTTGCCTATCGCCGTGCCTTTTCCATCTCTCTTGCTTTCGCTAACTACAACTGTTCACGATCATTGCGTAGGCTTTTTATCAGCATGGGCCTAAGCTGACTCGCTCCTAATCGCACTCAGAGCCATACTAGATGAGCTCTCGAGCATCTACCAGTTCGGCAGATTCTACTGAGATCCACCGTTTCTCCCTAACCATTTGGTCTACCTTACTTGCAGATATCACTGCTGTTTCCACAGTCTTTTTGATATCATTCCAAGCTGCCTCACGGTGGTCGCCTAACTGTTTTTCGAGTTGCTCCTGAAATGTATTCCTAGCTTTATTATCATCAAGTAGAGCCCGAAGAGGTTTCTTTGTGGCGTCTTTCCTACGTTCAGTAAGACGCAAACGAATACGTGCTCTCACCAGAGCATGGTCTGAGTCTAAACAAGTGCTCCAGAATGAGCGTCAGTCTTCAACAGAGCCTCTCCACCGATGGCTTGTAGCGACATGGTCCAGTTAGGTCCATCGTCGGGTCAACTTTGGGGGTACGCAGGTCAAAAGGTGTTTTTCCTTATGCCTAAGTTTAGTGTTTGCTAGAAATAGGCAGTTATCTGAGCACAGTTACAGCAGACGGTCGCCATTATCTGTTATTTGAGCTGCGACAACCTAAGATCCACCCGGGTGTCTTTCATGTTCACCTATTCTACTTACTTGAGCACTGAAGTCACCAGCCATTATTACTATACCAGAGTGCCTAGCTTTTTGGAGGAGGTCCGAAAGCTTTCTGTAGAACTCATCTTTCACCTTGTCTAAGCTGCAGTAAGTGAGAGTGTGGGCAGATATGACGAAGAGGCAACGGCAAGTGTCCCTGTCCTCCCGAAAACGTACCGTCCCGTTTAGTCGGACAGTACATTAGCGACTGTCTACCGTGATCAACTCTAAGAGAGCTTGTTCTGCCCTGAGACTTAGTACTATACCTACATCAGCGAGGCCACGAGAAGCAGCATCAAGGCTACCTGAAACATGAAGCATAAACCGTGTTGTTTCTCTGTCTTCACTAGGCGAAATCAAATTGATGATTTCATCCGGGTCTTAAATCCACGTTTCGGAGACGCAACTGACATCGATCGCCCGGGATTCTAGAGTTCTAGTATATGAAGCCCGTTGCCCAATTTGGCACAAGGTTTGAACATAAAAGCCCTAATCTGTGTTATAATACGAGGTATTAGGAGACCAGGAATAGTGTTTCGTGAGGCCAAATCGTTTGCTTCAGTGGCGCGAGGTAACACATGTTCGAAGGAAGGGTTAGTGGTGGTGATAAGAGAATTATTAAGAGATAGAGGAAGGATTTGATTGTGACCAATTCGGTCCCGTGTGCTTTATGGGTATGAGGGCGGATTTAGATTCCCGGCTGCCCTCATACCGTGGAAGGGTTCTGGTTGTCAGAAGGGGCATCGGCCCCATGAATTCCGAAGGAACTCGGTTTTCACCATGAGACGTCATAATTCTTCTGAATGAAGGTTTAAATCCCAGAGTAGAGTTTGCATGACTAAAAATTATTTTTTCTAGTAAGTGTCTCGTGGCAAGTTGGTTTTTTCGGATTGGAGTCGCCAACCCACATCTCAACCCTCCCCCTTAATTCCGGCTTGGGACCGGCAGTAGCCCCGAAGGGTCTACAGGCGAAGTTACTTACTACTACAAACAAATAGGAAAGAAACTTTGGCACATGTACCAACCAGGTACCTAGCGTTATTGCCTTATTGGTCCACATAAAACAAACGAATAACGAACGGCCGGCATTTACTCACTGGCATGGGGATTTCCTGGCTGTTACGAACATGAATTTCGACAACGACGCGGACCCAGTCCGAAGGCGCGATAGAAACAACAACCAACCAAATCAAAGAAGTCATTACCGAACACCTGGAACCGTACCGAAAGAACAAGAATCTAGCGCGAAGAAATCAAACTGGTTTACACTAGCTCGTGAAAAAGCTATTGGATATTGGATATTTATGTACTTCATACTGGTAGGTTTCAAAATTATCCCAAATGGCTAATCGCCACAACAAGATCATATCGTTGAATATTCTTCCTTTGTTATGCATCACTTTCATTAGTTGAAAGATGGAGGTTTTCGGACATAGCGTAGTAGAACTAAAACAAATTCCGATAGTCTTGATTTAAGCGCTTCGTGAAAACTATATGAAATGTCGATGTGACGCACCAATCGCTTTATAACAATCTGACCTTCTAGCGCTCAGCAACCTCTGCCAATGGGAGATGCCAAACAGATCGTTGGCCTTGAAGGGGATGGCATAAAGAAGTGGAATGCATAGTTCTACTTATTGTTTCTCTTTGGTATACTAATTATAAATATATATTCGCGATGGAAGATGCTAATGTCCAGATCACTCTCTTACTTTGTAAATTTGTCCACTTTCTTCAAGCTACCACTCAGTATGTTGTCCAAAAATGGACACCGGAGTTCATAAAAAATGCTTTAAACTTTACTGCTGAAATAGAAAATGTGAGGACATCTGAGGAGTAATTACTTTGTAGATAGTTGATAAACTGAAGGATGATGAAAAATTGGCAATTAAATACTTCCTGCAAGGCATGAGCACTATTTTCCCACATATCTCGTCATCTCTTTCTGGCTTACACCTTAAAAATGCAGTTGATTGGACTATCGAGGTTAGTTTAAAAATTATGTGCTAACTAGTAACTGAATAAACCATATCCATCCAGGGTACTGACGAATTATAAATCTTTGGGGACCAAATCATAACTTATGTTAAATGGATTATAATGACCTAACGGCGTTATAATGTGTCTCCTTGTGTCCTAATACATGCAAAGACAATCATCATTATCTGCTGTTTCTAAAACTGTCAATAACCATATCCTCTCCAATGAAAACAAGTGTGCTTTTTCTTATATTGCATGATCATAAGTAATGATTGTGCAACTCAAAACTTGTGTATACAGATTTATATCTTCATCCGTTGAAATCAATTTTAAAGGATATTATGATAGGCTGTCAACTGCTTGTGGTTACTTTGACGTTCACTCCTAATTGTTTGAAGGATTGGTTAGGGAACTAACAATTCATATTACTACTTTAATCAATCATCAGCTATGTGATCTGTCATTCCTACTCATAACTTTGTTTCACTTTACAGATTCTGTCTAGCAATCCGTACCTTTCACAAACAAATCGGGATTATATTTTCGAGTATTGCTTAGATACCAATCGTAAAGTATGTCCTTACAAAATCAAACTGTATTATTTTCTTAGTTGCCTCAATTTAACAAGTATTATCCGGAGTTGCATTTAATACCAGATGATTTGTTATTGATTGTTGAGTGCCGTTTGTTTGGTTCACACGTCTCCTCACTGAAGACAATTACTGAAGCAGAGAAATACTTAGATTCGTGTTTTGCATTAGATGATGACTATACTATACGTTTACTTCTTCGTGTACTAGAACAGTCGGAGAATTGTGATGAGTCAGATGTTGTACGTACTATCATAATCCACTGGTTATATATTGCTATTCAGAAAAATCGTGAGGCGTAAGTTCCTTGTGGTTCGTTTATCGTTTATCTGGGCTCAAAAGTCTACAGATCTATATTTCAGCAATATTAGTTTCTAGTTGTCGATTCTCATTTCATTGCATATGATCCGAACACGTAGTTCAAAACATTTTTCTGTACGTTATGAATGTTACCGACAACTGAACATATGAATTTTGTTACGAAGATGAATTTATTCTCAAGTGTATTTTGGGCAGCTAAAATAGTTGCACTTACCAGTTCATTTTATTGTTTTTCTTGATGTTTTGATAAAAAATAGTTTTAGTATAAACTCTCCTACCAATAGACCTTTTTATCTTCAATAAATAACTATGTTATTAAAGTTTACAAAGCACTTAACGATTAGTTTATCCAAACTTGACTTACGTATGCAAGAAGAAATCTTTACTAGCCCCTAAATAGTATTTATTCTTCTTATTAACTTCCGTAGTTTATTACTTAGAATGTACTTAGTCGTTTCGTCAGTTAGTTTTGATTTTCGATTGCTCACAACTTTAGCAGCATTAAGTTAGCATCATTTCGTAGTTTATCATTTTTGGCTTTTTCCTAACCATAAATTGTCACAAATAACCATATTTAGTAATATCCTACGTTTTTTGTTCGATCATTTTACTCATGTATTCGTTGCGAAAGTTAATTTTTACGGTAAACTATTGTGACCTAAGGAGTACGGGAGAGTTGTTTCATCCTAGTTTCAGATTCAGTAACTCATAGATTGCACGAATAAGGGTGGTTATCTCCCATGAAAAAGCTCATAATTAAAGTAAAGTGTATTCATTTTTAGTTGTGATAAGTTTACATTCATCACTTCATATAGTCATTTGACGCAAGTAGAAATCAGAAATATTAATCAACCACTTTCTGTAAAACAAGTTTACACTGTTATCCGAATGTTCATAAGTTAGGTCTATTACCTCCCACTTCCTATGTTTTAATCTCATCATCAACAGCAACGCAATCGTCAATTCAAATCCCATAACAGTATAGGTAATAAAAGTATCAGCAGTAGTGGAGAAGATTGGGGTTCGAAGATATAATTAAAGAAGTATAACTTCGTGAGTCAGTCAATCAGTCAACAACAATATAGAACTTCGTTCAATAAACTTAAACAAATAAAGGTGATGAAGAATCCAGAAGATTAGGATTTAAAGAATTAAGAAGAATGGATGCACCTACGCCATTGCAAACAATTTAGAGCAATTTACTCGACCGTAGCAGCTACATCATCCTCAACAGCAACGTAGAACTTTGCACGTAAGTACATCAGTTCAAGTTGCCATACCACATTAGCTGCTACCTTGATGTGGTAGTCAGGCTTGCTTATCGTAATGACACAACCGAGCTACATTGGTAGGAACATATGTTCCTGTAGGTTCTAGCATGCTAGGCAGGTCGATTGGAGAACTGTGAGACTAAAAGTGGCAACTCAAGGTCTTAAGGTGAAGTCCTAATGCTGACTGTAGACGGCTGAAACAGCAGTAGGGTGTTTCCCTCAGACAACCATTATCTGCAGCGATGCTGAATTCTCACTCACGAAAAGGGTTAGAGAAGGTCGACACTGAAAATTACATACCTCGCGGATTTCCGTCTCCGGTGGCCAGGCCTTTTAAACAAGAGCGGAGCTGATACGCTAAAAATCTCTCATAAAAAGGCCGTGCGTGACCGGCCTCAAGCAGTTGTCCCTTGGGGTCTGCGGTCACGCTCCCAGGTCTCTAAGACCAACACTAATCTACCTCCCCTTTCAGGTCCCTCAAGAAGTACTTTTCGACGGTGTGGGCAGACGGGAAGTCACAACCGTCCTCATACCCGTAACCGCACGCGAAACTGACTGAATTGAGCAATTTTACTCAAAGTCTTTAGCCACCAGTTAGGATTACCCCATCGACCCCAACCAGGTAGTCTGCATCTATTTATACGGTTCAGTGCCATTGTCAGTGACTGTGAACTGATGCCATAGTTTGGTTTGGCCGCCACTAGCTTTTCCAGCGTAATTCTACACCAGAAAGCATCGTTGATTGAGATGGGTGTAACACATTTCCCAACCACCTCAAATGATGGAGATTATCTACTTCATCAATTAATCTGTTCCTAACTAACACTCGTTTCTTAACAACAGCATTGCTTACTGGATTGTCCAAAGATATACGAGCAATACTTCGAAGAACTCTTTATTCAGATACTAATAACCTATGAACTCTTGCATTGTTACAATAACTACGTTTGTACTAAATCTTCATGATTTGAATAGTAAATCCAAGCTCACTTTCTATTCTAACCTTATGTAATATGTTAGGCACTGGTGAAGTACTTACAAGTAATGACTTGTCCATTGGTCGTTTATGTATTTTTGTTTATTTTGTGCATTTTCAGGTACATTTCTCTGGCTTCATACAATCCTGACCGTTTACGTGATTTGGCCATACAAATCCCTGATTTTGGGAAGATTATTTTAAAGCTGTTTGATGAAACCGAACATATACAGGTGAGCAAAATTCGGTTCACTAATTTGTTTATAAGACTGACTTACGCTTGTCATCCTCAAATGAGCATAGGCCGCCGACCAGTGCTCTTCAGCCTACTCTGTCCTGGGCTTCCCTTTCCAATTCTGTCCAATTTTTGTTCATTCTTCTCATATCTTTCTCTATTTCTCACCGTAATGTGTTTCTTGGCCTTTCTCTTTTCCTTTTACCTTGAGAGTCCCAAGTGAGGGATCGCCTTGTGACGCGGTTGGGTACTTTCCGTAGTGTGTCCTGTCCACTTCCACCACTTCTTCTTGATTTTCCCTTCCGCAGGAATGTGGTTTGTCCTTTCCCACAATAGATTGTTGCTAATGGTGTCTGGCCAACGGATCCAAAGTATTTTGCTTATATAACTGTTAATGAATACATGTATCTTCTGGATGATGGCTTTCGTAGTTCTCCAAGTTTCTGTCCCATACAGTAGAATTTCTTGATATTTGTATTAAAAATTCTGATTTTGGTGTTGATTGGTAGTTGTTTTGAGTTCCAGATGTTGTTCAGTTGTAGAATTACAACCCTTGGTTTGCCGATCCGTGTCTTAACATCTGCATCGGATCCACCTTGGTTGTCGATGATGCTGCCAAGATATGTAAAGGCTTAAACGTCCTCCAAGGCTTCTCCTTCAAGAGTGATTTGGTTGGCACATGTGGTGTTGTGTTTAAAAATCTTTCTTTTTCCTTTATGTATGTTGAAACCTGCTGCTGCTACACTGGTAATCTTCTTTTGCATTTGTTTTTGCGTGTGCGGTAGAAGAGCCAGATCATCCACGAAGTCCAGATCGTTGTTTATAAGACTACTTGTCAATTTTCCTAATTTTTGAATATGATGGACTTTTCTTGATCATTTTAAATTAGTTTAATATCACTTCGTAATACATAAGCCTGATTTTTTATACAGTAAGATGCAAAATTTTTGACCCTCATCGTAATTGCATTCAACCAACTGCCATATGTTTAGGTTGTATTAATATCACGAAGTCATGACTACAAAATGTACTATATTGAAGTAGCTTATTGGATTGTAGGTTTAATTACATACCGCTATTAGTTTGATTTAAAATCACACTATATCACGTTTTCTCAAATGTGTAAGATAGTTTTTACTGGATTTTTAGCCAAATGACTCATAGACAAGATGTTCATTCGAAATCTAAAGTACTTGATTTTAATGTCTGAGTAATACGAAAGTGTACGATATTTTTTAAACTGGACTTAGATTAAACATTACTTCTGTTTCAAGCAATATTTACTAACTAATTTCACCACCTAGTATATATATGTTAGCTAAACAGTGGGTCCTACTTATTATATAATCACATAGTTGAACCGAGTGAATAGACTGTAACTAGAATCCTTAGACGTTTGTGAAAATACTGTGTGAACATATGAACTGTGGATTCGTATCATCTGAATCGTGTTGTGGTAGCATTTCGAAGAAGACATTCGGGAACCAAAACTTTTAGAGTACTAAGATAACTACACTTTCATTTTATCTTCTGTTTTAATAATCTTACTAAACATTTCCTTGAATGGTATACGCTATCTTACAATCATTCAGTGAACTTCGGTTCGATGAAAAAAGCCTCAATCACACAGAAATATATAATTTATAGTGAGAGTATGTATTTGTATACTTTTGTCACTAAGTCAGTCAGTTGCAACGTAGAACTTCGTACGTATGTACATAAGTTCATGTTGCCATACCACATTATTAGCACAGAGACGCAAATGTCAAATCAAATCCCATAGTGATAAAGATAGTAGAGGTATTAATGTTATAATAAAGAAGACTAGGGTTTAAGATATTATTCAAAAAAAATATAATTCAGTGAGATAAGGTTAGAAAGACAAAGGTAGAGGTGCTGACGAATCCAGAAGATTAGGATTTGAGAGAGCTCAAAGAGTGGATGCACCTGCGCCATTGTAAACGATTTTGAGCCATGTCGTTCAAGGTCTCTAACCATTGATGACTTTCGTCTCGCGGACCCCAACCACGTAGTCTACATCTACCAACATGACTCAGTCCACTTGTCAGTGACTTCATGGATTTCTGCCATGTTTTGGTTTGCCCGCCCCTAGCTTTCTTCCAACCTACTCCTACACCACAAAACATAGCTCGTCGAGGCAGTCGGTGGTTAGGCATACGCAAGACATGTCCCAACCACCTCAACTGATGAAGTTTCACCACTTCATCGATTGATCTGCCATCCTTACCTAGTACTCGTTTCCTAACGACAGCATTGCTTACTCGGCTGTCCCACGATATACGAGCAATGCTTCTTAAACATCTATAATCGAATACTAGTAACCTACGAACATCTTCTACTCTCACTGGCCATGTTTCACAGCCATATAGAAGAACGGAGCGAACCACTGCGCAGTACACTCGTCCTTTAGTCAGCAAACGGATATCTCGTCTACGCCATAAGTGACGCAGGTTGGCAAAAGCCAATCGAGCCTTCTGTATCCGAGCTGAGATTTCGTCAGTCACCAGACCGTCAGCACTGATGAGACTCCCCAGATAAGTGAAGTGATCTACACGCTCGACTACTTCACTCCCTATCACTAGTTCAGGTGCCGAAGCAACCCAGTCTTGAAGCAACATTTTGCATTTCGAGGGGGAAAACCGCATCCCGAACATGCTCGCATTGTTGCTTATGGTAGTCAGAAGACTCTGCATTTTGTCAGCGTCTTCACCGAATAGAACTATGTCATCGGCATATTCTAGATCAGTAAGCGACTTTCCTGGTAGAAGGTCAACCCCTGAAAAATCTGACGAGCTTAATGTTAACTCTAAGAGGATGTCTACGACAAAGTTGAACAAGAATGGAGAGAGTGGACAGCCCTGACGGACACCACTTGATGTAGAGAATTCAGATGACAGTTCGCCATAAGCTCTCACCCGACCAGTGGTGTTCGAGTAGAGTGCTTGTATAAGGTTAATGTACTTCTTTGGTACACCTTTCAATGACAGACACTGCCACAGAACCTCACGATCCACTGAGTCGAATGCCGCCTTAAGGTCCAGGAACACGACTATTGTCGGACGTCTAAATGTGTGTCTGTGTTCCAGGACCTGTCGTAGTGTGAAGATGTGGTCTATACAACCACGTCCAGGTCGAAAACCAGCCTGGTTTTCTCGAGTCTGCTCTTCACGAGCTCTAGTTAGACGTCTAAGTATAATCGATGCTAACAATTTAGAAACTATATTAGTTAAACTTATTCCCCTGTGATTGTCACAAGAGGACTTCTGTCCTTTCTTGTAGATTGGGACAATTAGCGACTGAGACCAGTCAGATGGGATTACGTCCATTTCCCAGATTCTACCTAGGATCTCGGTCAGTCTAACCGTTAAAACTGGACCACCATCCTTAAACATCTCAGGGGTAAGCCTATCGGGACCTGCCGCTCTACCTCTCCTTAGATTTCCTATAGCTTTCTCAACTTCATGTAAACTGGGAGGACTTAAATCGATTTGCCATTCAGGATGACTGGAGATCGTGGGCAACCGAAGAGTGGCTGAAGGCCAGTTGAACTGATCCCTAAAGTGTTCTGCCCATCGGTCCAGCCTCCTAGATTGAGAATGGATAATAAGACCATCCTTTTCCGAGATAGTCTCACTTACATTCGGGTTCCTAATACCGGTTTCTTTGATAAGGCGGAAAATTTGTCTACTGTTGCCGATCGCCGCTGCCTTTTCCATCGCTTTTGCTTTCGCCACCCACCACTGTTCACGGTCGTTACGTAGGCTTTTTATAAGTCTGCACCTCAGCTGACTACGCTCTTCATCATGTTCAGAGTCAGGTGGGATGCGTTTTCGAGCATCCATCAGTTCGGTGGATGCGACTGAAATCCACTGCTTCATCCTAGCCTTGTGGTTTACCTTGCTAGCAGATACCATTGCTGTTTCCACAGCCTTCTTGATATGATTCCAACCTGCTTCAGGATGGGAATCACTTGCATGGCCGCCTAACTGTTTTTCTAGTTCCTCCTGAAATATTTTCTTAGCTTGATTATCATCAAGTGAAGCCCTAAGAGGCTTCCTTACGGTGTCTTTCCTACGTCCAGCAAGCCTCAAACAAATACGTGCTCGCACTAGGGCATGATCTGAATCTAAACATGTGCCCCAGAACGAGCGACAGTCCTCTATCGAACCGCTCCATCGGTGGCTGATGGCGATATGATCTAGTTGTGTCCAACGTTGAGACGACTTCGGGGGTCGCCAGGTCAAAAGATGTTTTCCCTTATGCTTAAAATTAGTGTTTGCTAGAAATAGTTGGTTATCTGAGCACAGTTGCAACAGACGGTCGCCATTGTCTGTTTTTTGAGCCGCGAGACCGTAACATCCACCTAGGTGTCTTTCATTTTCACTTAGTCTACCTACTTGTGCATTGAAGTCACCAGCCATTATAACTATATCAGAGCGGTTAACTTTTTGGAGGAGGTCCGAAAGCTTTCTGTAAAAGTCATCTTTTACATCATCTGGGCTGCAGTCAGTGGGGGCGTAGGCTGATATGACGAAGAGGCAACGGCGAGTGTCCCTATCTTTCCGAGTCCTTACTGTCCCGTTGAGTCGGACGGCGCACAAGCGACTATCTACAGGTATCCAGTCAAGGAGAGATTGTTCTGCCCTAAAACTCAATGCTATACCTACACCGGCGAGGCCCCTAGAAGCAGCATCAGGGCTACCGGATACACGAAGGGTAAATCGAGCTGCTTCTTTATCTTGACATGGTGAGGTCAAATGAGTGATGCTACTCGGATCCTGTATGCGCGTTTCCGAGACGCAGCATACATCGATTGAGCGAGATTCTAAAGTCCTAGCTAAGGAAGCCTGTTGCCCTATTTGACACAATGTCCGTACATTAAATGCTCCAACATGTAGTCTAGAGCGAGGTTTAAGGAGACCAGGAACGACCTTTCGCGAACTCGTATCGTCTGCATTAGCTGTGCACTGTAATAAATGAATGTGAGAAGAGTTAGTTGTGGAGATAAGAGAGGTATTAGGGAATGTAGAAAGGATTTGATTTTGAACAATTTTGTCTCGTGTGCTGTTGCGGGTTTGAGGGCGGTTATCACTTCCCGGCTGCCCACACCGTGGAAGGTTGTTTCTTGACGAACCTGAAAAGGAAGATGGATTAGTGTTGGTGCGTGACCGCAGAGTCCAAGGGACAACTGCTTGAGGCCGGTCACGCACGGCCTTTTTATGAGAGGTATTTAGAGGATTAGCTCCGTTCTTAAAGGCCCTTAGTGGGCACCCTCACCCAAGGAGACGGAAATCCGTGAGGTAGGGGAGGTGTGACATTTTTAGGGCCGACATTTTCTAACCCTTCCTTCCTTGTGAGAAGGCAGCATCGCTGCAGATGCTGGTTGTCCAAGGGAAACACCTTACTGCTGTCACACCCCTCTGCAGTCACCAGTACGACTTCGCCCTCAGACCTTGGGTAGCTGCTTTTAGTCTCATCGTTCTCCAATCGACCTGCCTGGCATGGTAGGACCTGCAGGAACATGTGTTCCAGCCAGTATAGCTCGGTTGGGTCATCACGATAGGCAAGCCCGACCACCACGTCAAGGTAGCAGCTCCGGTAAGGAAACAAAATACCATATGTCTCTCTTAATCCTAAGGAATTGTAGAAGCACTGTTGGTCATTCAGCTATATATAAGTGGTCTCCGCTAAAATATCCATTTATTTTTTTCATTCTTTTTACCTGTATTTGTATATGTTTAACTAATGAAATAAAATTTACCTCATTTTCTTTACTTTTGGAATATGAAAAATAGTTAGAAAAAGTTGGTTCACAGGAAAATAATCAGTGCACACTAATAATGGAAATATTAATTAATCTATATAAAAGAATTATCTTCATTGATCATTTAAATCCTCTCTTGTTATCACAAATTAACCGATTAGCAAAGAAAAGCAATTCTACAACGAAATTTTGGAATTCTTTTTTACTCACCGTAAATATGAATGAAAGTAATGTACAATAAATAGGATACATATTGATGTAATAGTTATTTTGTTAAACTTATTCTCGTGTTCCACTTTTGTGATTATTATCTCTTCTTGGTTTTCCTGTTTCTATTTTTGCTTATGTTACTAGTATTGTAAATAAATCTAAATAATAATATTAATGGGATCATTTCTCAAATTATTTAATCAATGCCTTTCAAATGGTATCCAGTTATGTATTTAACTGATGTACTATCGGATAATCATTTAACATAAATCATCACTCATACTTATTGCTATGCCTAAGTGATGGAATGTACTTTTCAAATCCTTTACAAATGAAGTAATGGTGTGGTAGCTAAAATGATCAACTTTCATCCGTAATGGGATTTGAACTGACAGTTGCGTCTATGTGCTACCTGAACTTATGTACGAATTTCTGCGTTGTAACCGTCTGACTAAATTCAGTAACCGAATTTCCTGGTAGAACGTCAATTCCTGTAAAGTCAAACGAAGATAATGTTATCTCTAAAAGCATTTCCATTGACAACGTTAAACAAGAATTTAGAAAATGAACATCCCTGACGGACACCACTTGAAATAACCAATCCCTATGATAGTTCGTCATAAGCCTGGACTAGGAACTCCTTAAGATCCACCCAGATGTCTTTCTGTTTCCCTTGGTTTACCTACTTAAGTGTTAAGGTCACCAGCCACCATTACTATATCAGAGCGCCTAACTTTTAAAGAGGTTCGAATCTGTTTAAGGCCACTATCCCACAATCTTTCTATAGGATGTTTTGGAGGTGTCAGCTCACCTCTTCAAGAGGCCTTACCGCCGGAGACGGAAATCCGTTACGTAAGGTAAGGTGTGAAATTTTCAGGGTCGACATTTTCTAACCCTTCCTTCCTTGTGAGAAGGTAGCACCGCCGCATATGCTGGTTGTCCGAGGGAAACACCTTACTGCTGTCACACTCCTCTGCAGTCAGCAGTACGACTTCGCCCTCAGACCTTCAGTTGCTGCTTTTAGTCTCACCGTCCTCTAATCGACGTGCCTGTTATGGTAGAACCTACAGGGACGTATGTTCTGGCAAATATATCTCGGTTGGTTCATCACGATAGGCAGGCCCGACCACCACATCAAAGCAGCAGCTACAGTCGGGTTCGTTATATTCAATCAATTTATGAAGAAAATTAATATTTCAATTTCAGTAACTATCCTTCGTTTTGAAACAGGTTTAAACTAGTTATATATATATATATATATATATATATATATATATATAGAGTTGTGATGCCTCATGATGAAAACCCAGTTTCTTCGGAAGCCTCAGGGCCGATGATTCTTCTCGCAACCAGAGAAATAATCAATACAGGTACATGAAATGATCGCACAATGCGGGACACAGGAAGAACCCATTGGACGCAGGTCGGACAAAGAAAATCAGCTTCGAGAGAGCTGTTGTACTGCGGTCATGAAGAATAAAATTACTCATACACACAAAGAGTTGCAGTGGTGCAGTTCAAAGGAGCCCAAAAGGCGCTTATAGGATGAGAATCTCATGGAGACAGGATCATCAACGTATCCTTCAAGATAAAGAAAGATGAGATAACAATGAACATCATCCAATGCTGTGCGTTCATCAACAATGACAATGAAAACGAAAAAGACCAATTCTATGGAAGGCTGCAGTAAATCGTTTCAAGCAAAGTACCTCCCCATTCTGATGGGAATCCTACGAACCAAGGAATATACAACATTGCATATAAGAGACGACGGAATGACATAGACTAGGATAAAGCAGTGAAAACGCTAAGAGTCCCATAAACCTATATGTCTTAAAAAAACTGGTCATTGACATGGCTTTAGATCATCAGTTGGTGGTGGCCAAGATGAAACTGAATATACAGAATTATTAGACAACTAGACGAACAGGATCACAAAAGTTTAATACGGCCTTTCCTCAAGATATTGGTAAACTCAACGAATTCAAGAAAGCTCTCAGCAATAAGTTCCAAGTCTTACACGACCTACTCCACGAAGAGCAAAATACCATGGAAAACAACTGGAAAGAGATCAAAGAAGCAACAACTTCAGCATATTATGAGGTTCTGGGACACAAAAAACATAAGGAATGCGTCTCTGTCGATGCTGCGGATAAGATTCCCGAAATGAAAAGCAAAAACGATAGCGATCGATATCAGCCGAACAAGAGTTGATAAAGCCAAGCCACAGGTCGAATACACACAAGCAAATGAAGAGCATCAGAGCTGATAAGCAGATATATGTGGGAGATATAGTAATGATAGCAGAAAAAGCTGCAAGAGAAGGAAACATGAGACAACCACAGGACACAACGAAGCTGGCTGTAAAAGATAGTGAAACAGAACGACCAGTAAAGAACGAGGAAGCCAAAGCTATCACCGACATTCAAGAACAGCGAAGGAGGTGGCGCATCAGTGTTGTTAATACGAATAAAAGATATATCAGACGACCAACTTCGAGATCAGATCATTATAGAAAAATAAAGGGGGTGGAACTCACCATTATACATCAATTTCTTTGACTGTGAGAGAGCATTTGACAGCGTGTATAGGATGACGCTTGCTAGGCTTCTTTAACACTACGGTGTACCTAAGGAGATGGTTGACATCAGAAGGAGTTAGTACGATGGATTACACTGCAAAATCGTGCATGGAGGACATCTTATAGACTCATTCTAAGTATAAAAAACAGGCAAAGCTTTCTACAGAGTACAAGACAATTATAGGATACTGGTTTTCGATCATGTGTCTCCAAAACATTGCTCGTTTATTGTGGCGCTATCAAGTCAGAATTGTTGTTAGGAAACGGGTACTAAGTGAAGGTACTAGATGAAGTAGTGGAACTTCATCAGTTGAGGTGGTTGGGATATGTCTTACGAGCGCCCAACCACCGAATACCTCTTTGAGCTATGTTTTGCGGTGTAGGAGTAGGTTGGTAGAAAGCTAGGGGTGGCCAAACGAAAACATGGCACAAATCCATAAAGTCATGCCGGTAAGTATAGACTACCTGGTTGGGGTCCGCGAGATGATGGTAATCGACGGTTAGGACAGTAAGGACTCGGAAGGATAGGGACACTCGCCGTTGCCTCTTCGTCATATCTGCCTATGCCCTCACTGACTGCAGTGCAGACGAGGTTAAAGATGAGTTTTACAGAAAGCTTTCGGACCTCCTCCAAAAAGCTAGGCGCTCTGATATAGTAATAATGGCTGGTGACTTCAATGCTCAAGTAGGTAGACTAGGTGAAAAGGAAAGACATCTTGGTGGATGTTATGGTGTCGCGGCTCAAAGAACAGACAATGGCGACCGTCTGTTGCAACTATGCTCAGATAACCGCCTATTCTTAGCGAACACCAACTTTAGGCATAAGGAAAAGCATCTGTTGACCTGGCGACCCCCGAAGTCGTGTCAACGTTGGACTCAACTAGATCACATCGCCATCAGCCACCGATGGAGGGGTTCGATAGAAGTCTGTCGCTCGTTCTGGGGCACATGTTTAGATTCAGATCATGCCCTAGTGCGAGCTCGTATCTGTTTGAGGCTTACTGGACGTAGGAAAGACACCGTAAGAAAGCCTCAGGGTTATACTTAATGATAATCAAACCAAGAAAATATTTCAGGAGCAACTAGAAAGAGAGTTAAGCAACCATGCAAGCGATTCCCATCCAGAGGCAGGTTGGTATGATATCAAAAAGGCTGTGGAAACAGCAGTGATATCTGCTAGGAAGGTAAACCATGAGGCTAGGATGAAGCCGTGGATTTCAGTCGCATCCACCGAACTGATGGATGCTCGAAAATGCATCCCATCTGACTCTGAGCATGATGAAGAGCGTAGTCAGCTTAGGCGCAGACTTATAAAAAGCCTACGTAATGACCGTGAACAGTGGTGGGTGGCGAAAGCAAAAGCGATGGAAAAGGCAGCGGCGATCGGCAACAGTAGACAACTTTTCCGCCTTATTAGAGAAACTGGTATTAAGAACCCGAATGTGAGTGAGACTATCTCGGAAAAGGATGGGATTATTATCCATTCTCGATCGAGGAGACTGGATCTATGGGCTGAACACTTTAGGGATCAGTTCAACTGGCCACGAGCCACTCTTCGGTTACCCACGATCTCCAGTCATCCTGAATGGCAAATCGACCTAAGTCCCCCTTGTCTTAATGACGTTGAGAAAGCGTTAGGAAATCTGAAACGAGGACGAGCTGCAGGTCCTGATAGACTGACCCCTGAGATATTTAAGTATGGTGGTCCAGTTTTAGCAGCTAGGTTGACTGAGATCTTAGGTAGGATCTGGGAACTGGACGCAATCCCATCCGACTGGTCTCGATCCTTGATTGTCCCAATCTATAAGAAAGGACAAAAGTCTTCTTTTGACAATCACAGGGGAATAAGTCTAACTAATATAGTATCTAAAATACTGGCCTCAATAATACTTCGACGCTTAACGAAAGCTCATGAAGAGCAGACTCGAGAAAACCAGGCTGGTTTTCGACCTGGACGTGGCTGTATAGACCACATTTTCACACTACGACAGGTCCTGGAACATAGACACACATTTAGGCGTCCTACAATAGTTGTTTTCCTAGACCTTAAGGCGGCATTTGACTCTGTTGATCGTAAGGTTCTGTGGCAGTGTCTGTCATTGAGAGGTGTACCAAAGAAGTACATTAACTTTATACAAGCCCTTTACTCGAACACCACTGGTCGAGTGAGGGCTTATGGCGAACTGTCATCTGAATTCTCTACATCAAGTGGTGTCCGTCATGGGATGTCCACTTTCTACATTCTTGTTCAATTTTATCATAGACATGCTCCTAGATATAACCCTATCCTCGTCTGAATTTTCTGGAGTAGACCTTCTACTAGGTGGCTCGCTTATTGACTTAGAATATGCCGATGACATTGTCCTACTTGGTGAAGACGCTGACAAAATGCAGAGTCTTCTGACCACCCTAAGCAACAATGCAAGCATGTTCGGGATGCGGTTTTCCCCTCGAAATGCAAAATGTTGCTTCAAGATTGGGTTTCATCGGCACCTGAACTAGTGATAGGGAGTGAAGTGGTCGAACGTGTAGACCGCTTCACTTATCTTGGGAGTCTCATCAGTGCCGATGGCCTGGTGACTGACGAAATCTCAGCTCGGATACAGAAGGCTCGATTGGCTTTTGCCAACCTGCGTCACTTATGGCGTAGACGAGATATCCGTTTGCTGACTAAAGGACGAGTGTACTGCGCAGTGGTTCGCTCCGTTCTTCTATATGGCTGTGAAACATGGCCAGTGAGAGTAGAAGATATTCGTAGGTTACTGGTTTTCGATCATAGGTGTCTTCGAAGCATTGCTCGTATATCGTGGGACACCCGAGTGAGCAACGCTGTTATTAGGAAACAGGTGCTAGGTAAGAACGGTAGATCAATCGATGAAGTATTGAAACTTCACCAGTTGAGGTGGTTGGGACATGTGTTGCGTATGCCCAACCACCGACTGCCTCGTGAAGCCTTGTTTTGTAGTGTAGGAATAGGTTGGAAGAAAGCTAGGGGCGGGCAAACCAAAACATGGCAGAAATCCATGAAGTCATTGACTAGTGGACTGAGTCATGTCGGTAATTATCGACTACCTGGTTGGGGTCCGCGAGATGATAATAATCGATGGCTAGAGACCTTGAATGACATGGCTCAAAATCGTTCGCAATGGCGCCAGTACGTTTATTTTTTGTGTTCTCTCAAATCTTAATCTTCTGGATTCTTTAACACCTTTAGTTTTTTACTTTCTAAACTTATCTCATTGAATCATACTTCTTGAATAGTATCTTCTAATCCTAACCTCTCCGATTACTTCTAATTCCCTTACTACCTCTTCTACTATTGGATTTGAATTGACGATTACTTCTCTGTGCTGATGTGGTATAGCAACATGAACTGATGTACTTATGTACAAAGTTCTACGTTGCATCTGACTGACTGAATCGACGGTTAGACCTTGAGTGACATGGCTCAAAATCGTTTGCAATGGCGCAGGTGCATTCATTCTTTGCGCTCTCTCGAATCCTAATCTTCTGGATTCCTCATGACCGATATTTCTCTTTTTGTAAACTTATTCTTCCGGGGTATATATCTGCAATGATATACTTGATCATTGATGTTTTTGATTACTGCTAATACTTCTACTACCTCTATTGCTATGAGATTTGAATTGACAATTGCGTCTGTGTGCTAATGTGGTAAGGCAACTCGAACTGATTAATATACACGCGAAGTTCTACGTTTTAACTGACTTCTACCCTCGTTTTTCCTTTCTTCTGGTGGCTAACAGCATTATGAAGACAGCATCTTGAGGGAAGCATGGAATACAGTGAACAGCTCGGTTGCAGCTGGACTTCGTAGATGATCTAGATCTTCTGTAGCACACGCAAAAGTAAATGTAGAAGACGACCATTGTAGCAGCAACCTCTGCAGTAATATGTCTCAAGATTCAAAAGGGAGAAAGCAAGATCCGACGACAGAACATAACATGAACCAACCAAATCACACTTAACAAAGAAGCTTCGGAGGATGTCGGAACTTCTACATACCTGGGCAGCATCATTGATGATAATGTAAAGACACGGATGGGCAAGGCATGGGCAGAATTTGTACAATTGGACAATATCTAGAACTCAAAACAACATCAAAGTCAGAACTTTCGATACAAACGTCAAAGCAGTTCTATCTCATGGATGTCAAACTTGCTGAGCTACGAAAGCCATCATCTAAACAATACGGGTGTTTAGTAACAGTTTTCTACGCAAGATACCGCGGACCCATCGGCCAGACACCACCAGCAACAGCCTACTGAAGGAGAACAAACCAGCCTCCAGCTGAGGGAAAATTTAAGAAAAAGCTCTACAGATGGATAAAACACATTGCAAAGATCACTCAACTGGGTAACGAGGCTAGCCCTAGATTAGAATCCTCAAAGCCAGATGAAGACCAAAGAACAGATTACGGAAAGAATGGGAAGCATACATGAAAAGAATGAATAGCGATTGCCAATAACTAGAATGGAAAAGGTTGGTTGGAGAAATATATATATATATATATATATATATATATATATATAACTCTTATTTCTTGCTGGGATGTAAGGTGAACTAATAATAAGCCATTGCACAAAAGCTTTGAGTTTCTCGCACATATTTTTACTTGTTCTTGATGACGCTGAACATGCTCAACAGATACGATAGGCATAATAAATATATTAACCAAACCTAACAACAAGGGACACGATAGATACACAAAACGTAACAGAATGACTAACATTATCACATCTTATGTAATTTAAGATAAATGTAGTACATATAACACCTAATGAATGCTGATTGAAAGGGTAGTTGCTTTACTTTTAAATGGAATGTCTGCTGAAACATATTAACATAAACAATATCAATTTGAGCAATCGATCATTGGTCCATTCAAGAGAATCAACATATTGAAGTAAAGAAAAATCCAAGTAAGAAGTAACAGAACAACAAATAAAAAACTAAACCTAATAATGATAGGAACAGTCACCTAGCAAAGCAAACCAATACGCTAGAAGAGTTCAAATCTGAAAAGGTTGACGAGAAACGATACAGCCAAGTAAAATGAATTTGATGACAACCACATATTATTAAGTTAAGAGATGAAAACAAGTTAACAGTAGTAGTGATTGTTAATTTCACTGTAAATAGAATTATCAGTAAACAACTGTAATATTTTTTAGTACTAGTTTTATAAAGTCGAATTGTATAAACCTGAGTAAGACAAATACGTTGACTAATATACCTTGGAATAACTATAAATTGATTAGTTCTAGTATTGGGAATATACCTAGAATGATATGTACAATTCAGTGTTACATAACTATTAATAATTAAAAAGATTTAAGCTACCATCAATCACACAGAACTGAAGTTATATATGTATAAAAGAAAGAGAGAAACGCCATAAAAACAAAAAAACAATCAACCTGAGAAAGAAAATATTACGAAAGATTACCGAACACTAATAAACAGTTCGCGTTCGTTTACAATTAATTTTTTGATTAGCTCTATTATTGAAATTAATCCGCCGAAGATTACGATGATTATAATGTGCAAAGCTGCGATATTGATTCTTTTTAATAGAAGTAAAATTATGAACTGCTTTTCGTGTTGTTGTACTATGTGATCGCTTAAGTTTCCGTAGTTTCACAAAATTGGACAATCGATGGTCAACAAATGTTGAAGAATTTTTGGAGACTGGAGAGGTAGACGGCGGTGGAGGAGGAGAAACGGAAGTGGAAGAACATGATGTGGAAGAATTCTTGTTCAGGTCAAAATGATCAGGCAAATTTTCATGAATTAAATAATCGGTCATTGCTAAAACATAAGTAACCGAAAAATCAAACCACGTTAAAATGTATAAACTATCAATAAAAAATAGTTTCACAATAGGTAAACTTTTCACTATGGAGTTCGGGATCAGTTTGACGACACTAAGTTATATAATGATAGTGAACTAAGTTTATTTACATCGTTAGCCAAAACAGTGTTCAAAAATTTCTGCTTGGAGTAAAACAGAATAGAACGCACAATTTATTAAGGAAAAATAGTGACTTATTTAGTGGTGAAATAACCAGCTTTTGTTCCCTATTTTCCCTCATTTCTATCAAGTTTCCCGCCATTTTTCCCCACAAATATCTTCCCCCTAGATTTGATGTGGGAAAAAGTCATATTATTTTTCAATTGTGGTTAACAGTGTTAGATCCATAGAATAGACTTTTATGATACAAGTGGTATGAAAAGAGGAGTTCTGAATTTTCACTCTCACTGACTGTTAAGATACATAAGGAAATTTCTAAAAGGTCTACCGAGTTGGAAGGATGGAACAACTTACACTAATTTTTTCGTTCGGTAAGATTAGAAACTGAATCAAGATCAACTTATAATAAAGTTCTAAGTTGATAATGAACAGCCGATAATGTTGGAAACTAAAGTAAGCAACGGAAAAGAAATTCAAAAACTTTTTTAGTTAGCATGTGCAAAAGATTCGGAGATTATCAGTCAGGCAAGATATCACAGTGAGTGGTTGTCTTATTTGAGTCCCTACTACTATATTTACAGAGGTCTGCGATATGTTTAGGCATGTCTTCATCTCAGTTGATTATGAGGTTCCTTGACAGTATCGGACATTGACACGAGTAATAAAAATCGATCAAGCATCATTCGAGTGCACATCTATCGATTTCGAGTTTTCATTGGAACACAGACGTTTTCGTATGAGACAGCGACAAAATAATATGCACCACAAGATTAGAGAATAAGATTGTGAACAGATGGAGAAAGGAAGGTGAGAATAAAATAAGGAAAGAACGAAATGAATCGAAATTAGTGAATGTAAGTAAAAAAAATACTAGCAAGAGCAGTTCAGTTGAGGACTAAAAAGGATTCATTTAACGAAGTTTCTCTCACTGCAGCAAGACAGTAGTCATTGTCCATTATGAGCTATGCCTAACAACGTCTCAACCAACTGTGTTGCGCCACCTCTAAGATCTCAACCAAGAAGTCGTGAAGGACCAACATGTTAATAATGTACTGCTTTCTTTCATCCCGCAGCCTCGACATGGGTTTATTGACTAAATATTCACACTGACAGTCCTAGAGCATAGACAACATCCAGACGCCCAACAATAATGGTATTTCTCGACCTCAAGGCGGCATTTGACTACGTTAATCGCGAGGCAGCATCGCTGCAGATGATGGTTGTCCGAGGGGAACACCTTACTGCTGTCACACTCCTCTGCAGTCAGCAGTACGACTTCGGCCTAAGACCTTGAGTAGCTGCTTTTAGTCTCATCGTTCTCCAATCGACCTGCCTAGCACGCTAGAATCTGCAAGAATATATGTTCTGGCTAATATAGCTCGGTTGGGTCATTAGGATACGCAAGCACGACCACCACATCAAAGCAGCAGCTAAGGTCGGGTTCGCTATATTAAATCGATTTATGAAGAAAATCAGTATTTCAATTTCAGTTACTATCCTTCATTTTGAAACAGGTTTAAACTGGTTATATATATATATATATATATATATATATATATATATATATATATATATATATATATATATCCGCTTGAGCTTTTCTTGGGTTACTGTCAGTCCTTACTACTTGACATTCTTCAAATTTTGATTTCATCTACGGACAACAATATCGACGACTAAGGTAGTCTCGGCAATTCATTGAGGCGTAGAGGAAAAGGAATAGAGTACCTGAAAGGTTGCCTTGTGGTACAACGCTTTCGGTCGATTGCCGTTTAGATAATATCTCATTTACTCTTACCATCTGTCTTCTGAGGAAACTTTTTGTCCACTCTTGTACGACGCTTGTTATAGAAAAGCTCAAGAGTTTCTGCATAAGCCTTAAGTGAGAAACCTTGGCAAATGATTTCTTTAAATCTGTGAATATCACATCGATCGAAAAGACATTATTTTCGGCTGTTGTACAATACCCTCGCATTTATCAAGTTTGTTAAGCATAAGTGATTATTCCGAAACCCGTGTTGTCAAGGAGCTAACCGATTGTATAATTCGGCGTGACTTAGTAACTTAGTCTGAATTATTGTTTTATTTCTCTTAACTAACATGTTGGGTAGAAAATCACCTTTTAACAAATTATTCGAAAGTCATATGATAATTTATACAATAAAACCAGAATTACCTGTTTTCTTGGACAATCTATATTGTTCTTGTATCAGCTGACTGAGTTCAATACGTAGTATACGTTCACCTTCAATAGAGAAACGTCAACAGATATAAGTAAAAACGAAATATTCTGCACAAAAAAGTAACAAAAGTTGATAACAAAAGACAATATTATTCTATCTGAAGTAATTTACTCGGATTCTAGTCATTTAAACAAGTCAGGTGTTTGTAGTTTATCAGGTTTCAGTTGATACACTAGAAACTGGCCAAATTAATTGACCAATTTGTGCACTAGTCTTATAATCAGTGTCACGGGATAAAATACTAATCCCTATCCTGAACAGCACTTTCGGCCAATTAACAATTTTTTATAGCCACACAAGAAGCCAACCTACGGTGTTATCATTTGTTTACGTAACCCCTATGATTAAATCGATATAATACGTGTTGTTTAACCCGAAAAATATCAGACAAATAACTCTCTGTATATGAAAATTTTGTAGAAACTTATTCACTAGTGCTACCGGTCGAATACGTATCAAGTGCTAGACTACAAATAAGCAAGATTAAAATTTAGCTAAAAAATAAGGCAATCATATATTACGGATAGGATTTCTAAGTGAGTACAATCGAAATAAGAAATATAGAGCTTACTTTGACGGAATCCAATATTAGGATGGTATTAGAAGTAAATTTCAATTGCAGACTCTAAGTTAGCTGGCTTAGAATAAGAACATCATAACCAACCATGGATAAAAACAAGCTTACTCTGAAACTCGAGTGTGCACTCCTACAAACTGCACTAACCTCATAGCTATCAAAAGATATTTACCATCAAAGCCAATACATAGAGATGTTGTAGTGTTGAGCTTACTCACTATACTGAATTTCTTATTTGAATGAACAGTAGCTCAGTAAAAACTATGCACAGACTGATTATCAAATTAGGAAAATATTAGATACCGCTTAGTAACCTAGAGGATTTAAGTTATATAGTTCCATACTCATCATATTCAATCTTGGTCAGGTTTGAAATGCGTCTGAGTGCAGTTTTACCTTAGGCTTGTAAACCTGAAGCCTTTGAGGGTTTGCCCACATCCAGTAAACACACCATGTTAGTATTGCAGGAGTCTACTGATGTGTGTTTTGAATTTGAATATGTATGTTTATTTTTCCATTTCATGTATGTTGTAGGAATATATAAATTCAGCAGAAGAAGTTTTAAATTCTATTTATATGACATCTAATTGGGACGACCTTGAGAAAGGTAAGTAATGTTTCGTTTAGAGTATACAGGTTCCCACTCGATCTTATAGTAAATACGATGGTTCATACAGTTACCCTTCAGAAAATTTAAACAATCATAATATGCCATTGGCAATTATGAGTCCCTACCTGTTGTGTACTATTATTCTTTAAATTTCGTACAAATTAAGTGTGGTATTCGTTACTGGTAATGACACATTTCCAACCATATACGAAACCAACCATCCGACTAAATCCTTAAAATTTTGGGTATCTTGGTTAATCTTCCCGATTGAGAACAGTGGTTATAACGTTTTTCTTTTAAGCTTTCCGCTCTAGTGCTTCATATTGTCCACATCTTTTCCAACTATGTATTTATTTGTCGTTTGGCAACATGAACTGACGTACGTACGTACCAAGTTCTCCATTGTTGCTGACTGACTGTGACTTAACTGTTTAACTGAATTATAATGTAGACGGTTGATTTTGACATTATTCATTTCGTAGTTCTACTACCAGTGACAAAATAATGTTAGCCTTCATAAAACCACGTATTGCAGACTAGGAGGATAAAATTTGCGAGTGATCACATAACGTCGATTGGAATCAAACTAAACTGTTGTTGAATAAATAGTTAAAATCCATGATGGTCTGAAAACGTAGAAGTTTATGGCGTAATATTTTGTAGTTCGAAGGTTGGTTTACCTTGCTGCTGTGTATTCTAGAAGATGATACATATAAGACACTTTTATGTCAAATAATTGTACTTATAGTCTATCTTTTTTATTACTTGCCTTTTTGTGTCACGCTAGCTTTCTATTTAGCATTGATGGGTATTTACAATCAATATATAGAGGAACGTTACTTCCGTCATCGTTTGGCACGTTCGCATAATTTAATAACTCACATTATGCGTGATCTGATGTGTAACCAATCAAAGCAGTTATTCAACCATATATCCAGGCCTCGGGTAGTCAAAAAAGGATGTTGCACCACGTCGACTTCTGGAGTTGTTTCTCGAATCAAAAAACTAAGTCGAGGATTTTGTTTTAGTGATGGTTTCAGGAAGCGAAAACCTGAATATCCCCACAAACTAAAACATTCTGTTGATGGGGTTAGTGATTTTAATCTTAACTGTAATGTTACGATGACTGGACATGTGGACACCGGAGTTTTTGGTCAGTCACTGGCTTTAGCACCAAAACACTTAAGTTGTCCATATAAATCTGTACCGATGCCTCATCTAAAGCAATATTGTGTATCCTACCAGGTTATACAAAATGGTGATGTAGATTCTTCTACAGTCAATTTAAATATTCCTGATTTGTGTAAAAATCTTGCTGTACCACATATCACTAAAAGATTGCTTGTTCGTGATGATTCATGGCTAACCGAGTCTTATACCTCATCAGAAATCCTTGACTCAGGCATCAGTTCTGCAGAGTCCTCTTCTAATTCCACAACTTCGTGTGGTAATTTTAGTGACCAATTAAATTTAACCCCCTTCAAACCAACCAATGATTTGCTGCTATCCAGTCACATAGTTCCCATTCGTCCTCGATCAAATTCTGATTCTGTTTGTGATTCCGTTATGATGAAATCAAAAAACCAATATCCCAACTTTACGAATCAAATCATATTGTCAAGTAAATCAACGAACAGCGGACTCTCAGAGACTGGTCTTGTGACAAGCGTAATTGAATGTCTTTCTCAATCTGCCGATAAAATAAATACTCCCTTCCCTGCACCCCAGAAACGACGTCGGGGACGTCCCTCCGGAAAATATAGTGCGATATCATCTTTATCTGAAAACCAGAATACTGAAAAGCAAAATGAACAAACATTATTGATGTAAGTTATTGTTCGATAAAATTACTCTGAGGATTTCTTAGAGTCCTTCAACTATACTTGTCATCTTTCTTGTTTTCAACTGTAAATTTCAAGTTGTTGGTGTATGTTGGTATTTTGCGAATTAATTTTGGTACTCATCACTAAAATCTAACTTCATAATACAAGTGGAGATAAGTCTATTTATATTTTAACTGTATATTATTTTATGAGAACTAGAGGTACTAACCAGTTACCGTAACTAAATCAGGCGACTGAACTAGTAAAATCATAGTGCTAGAAACTCTATTAACCTTGAAAATGTGTTTTATATACATGTTGCGAGCTATTCTGAATGCTTGGCAGTCACCTGGTCAAGTGATCTGATAGGAATAATCCTACCCACTCGTAAAATACCCCATCCTGTCCAAAGTTGATGTAGATTTAGGTTAGATGACTGACCAGTTTATTTAGTCTGGGATAAATAGATATGGTTTCACATATCCCGAACAAAGCCACTATTGTAGTAATACCCTGAAAGTCTGATGTATCTAATGTTAAAACTTTTGAGTTTACTCAATTACCAGTCCGTAATTGATAGTTTGGATACTTTCTAAATGTATAAGTAACTCACTATGTTGAACGGGTCAAATTTCGGAAGTTAGACACTTTTATTTTAGCTTGTGGAGTAATATTCACATCGTTATCCAACTCATACCTATGCTTCTTGTATATCAAAAATATCTGCTTATGAACAAAAGTATTGTTATTGACTTGTAGATAGGAAACATTTTCTGGAATTTTGTTCGCTATCGTCTTTCCAATAGTTGTAAACAAACTTCGCAAGCGAAATTATATTGTATCGAATTCAACCCCCATAGAATACACTTTAACTACGCACTAAGTTAATTCCACATTTATTTAACAACGTTCCAAAACTATTTTCGATTTCCAATGCTTATCTATTAGAGTTTGTCAAAAAAAGCTTGGCAAGTTTATTTTCCTGGTGCACATTTAGATTAATATAGCTATAATGACCAGAGTAAAGCTGGGATGTCATTTATTTTTAGAATCCTCCAGTCAGTCACAAAACTTCATCTTTTTATATGACTCATATCCTTTCATAGGCGTAGTATGTCAAACTCAAAAACCAGTGATATTGGATCTTGTGGAAAGACTCAGTATCATTCATCCGGAAACAGAACGTCTCAAGTTGATATTTCGTCGAATCTGGATATGTACAATTCCATCAAAAGTCTTACCTGGTTAGTTGAAAATGTAGAAACTCCATTGACGGTCCCTGTGCATCGTCGTCGTGGACGTCCACCTCGTAATCCTATTTCGTACAATGTTTGTAGTGCTAAAAAGTTTGAAAAAACGTTTCTTACGTAAGTAGTTTTAATTCCATTCCAGATATTGGTCATTATTTACCTGTGATACTTCTCCAAAATTTCTGTTTCTTTAGATTTCATGTGGTAATAGTCTATCGAGTGTACACATCGGTTAGTCTATTTTCTGACAAAGCCAACTATTCATACGTTTCAAGGAAATAAGTTTCAGGAAACTGGTAGTTAGGAAATCTCTGAACCTTATGGACGGATAAATGTCATTGTTGGTGAAACTTTGATAGTCAGTTTGACTGATTTATAAGGACCTTCCGGCTAACCGGGATTCAACCTGATTCGAATCGGAATGTTGATAATACATGAACATGACTTCGAGGTAGGTAATATAACTAATCTTTAGTTCGACACTAAAGAAAAATTCAGTCTCATCGGAATAATATTCGATGTAATCAGGATATAGTCTTTATCCTGCAATGAAAGTGTTAATAAAAAATTATATTTAAAAGTGCAAAGATAAGGTAAGTTTAAAATGCGGTCAAGCCAAATAAAGTAGGATGTCGAGTGCGTTGTCAAGCCGTGTATTGCTTTCAGGTGGTCATTAAAGTCAGTGTCGTGCACTCTCCAAAGTCAAAAGATAGCATGTAATGGGATTACTTTAATAAATTGAATATTTCAACTAAAACGGCTGTCTCGTACGGAATTTTATCGGTCGTTTATCATAGGGAAACCAGTATATTTCTTATTCTTCAAATGTTACTGATCATTTTCTAAGGTTATATATATATATATATATATATATATATATATATATATATATATCGAAGTAGCGTGTTCGTTAGAAAATTCTTTTTTAATTTGGTCGACAAATTTTGTACGGTGCGGGTTATTGGAGCGTGCGACTGGTTTCTCACAATGTGTTCCAGACCTGCTGAACCTCCAAAACCAGTGATATCTGTGGCTAACACCTCAAAATAAATGTTGTTGCATATCAAAAATATCTTGAGCGATTTAGTTCCACAATTTTTATACACGAATTCGATGTCTACAAAAGCTGTCTCTCCGAACATCAATATAGGATGGATCTTGTGATCGACTGTTAAACGACGAAAGCGAGTGGTACGCAACAACTGGTGATTATGGTTCATTGACCATCTAGCTACTTACTGTATAAAAGCCTTCACTCTGCCAAACAGACATGCAGGATTCAAGATCACTATCGACAGGCTGTTTGGACAAATGGATAAAAAAATTTACCGTGAAATAAACCTTTATCTCACTTCAGTTGTTGGTCGCTGGAGGTGATCCTTCATTTTGCATATATATCTTAAGTAAAAGTCATTTTGTTTTGAATGATTATCTGGTATTATGAAATGGAAGAAATTCACATTCTTATAAGCTCTCGTTTGTCTCAGGAACTAAACTTCCGTTGAAAATCCAACTTCAACGAACATCTCTCTGGAAGTCATATCAGCTTCACTGTCTGATATAAATTGAGTAAAACTGATATTGTCGAACTAAATGCACTACTTTTATGGGTTCAATAATATTCGTTTCGTTGACCGCTTAAATAATGGTTTTGATTAATGGGAAGAGGGTATAGGTGAATAGTGGGCGTGGAAAGTTTTACAATGAATTTCATGCCCTTAAAAATGATTAAGTTTAGTACATATTGTTCCATTTGTATTCGTAAACAAGTAACTTTTTTCTTCCCGTTCAACTTAAAGACATCCTCAGTGGCTGAAACCATTCTTTCGTTATCTTTCTACATCAGAAGCGGAAACATTCCTCAAAAATTTGGAACGTGAGTGTAAATTATTTTCATTAAGATTTTATTTCCACATTCAAGCGCATAAATCCTCGAACATTAGAGCTTCAAAAAGTTCACCGTATAGAGATAGCATTAGTTTTATGAAGTACCAAACGAGACAGGGATATTGCAGTTAGGAAATAAACGAACATAAATAGTACTTAATGAGAGAGAGTCCAGTCAAAAGCACACTCAAGAAAGACTTCCTTCAGTTAAGGAAACTTATCTCACTTTATGAAGTATACAAGAAAAACCGAAAGCACGATGACCACCGGCTCCTAACATGAACTACATCCATTGAGTCGCTAAGTCGTTATGAACTGATAGATGCCAATCCTATGGCGCTATCTTTCACACCATGACACCATGCCATAAACTGACCACCTCTTCTTTTCTACTCAATCTCAGAATTGGCAAGTGATACACGATACAGAAGTTGCTGGGGTTGATATTCGTGAAATATGACCAAGCCACAGAAGTCAGTCATTAAATACGGTGTCACCAACTAAATAATCATCACTTCATCTAAACACGTAGGTAAGGGTCGCCCAATTTGGGCTTTTTAGAGCGGAGCTAATACTCAATAAACCTTTCATAAGAATGCCGTGCGTGACCGTTCTCAAGCAACTGTCCCCTGGGCTCTGCAGTCACGCTCCCATATTTCCTCTTCCGAGACTAATCTGCCTTCCATTTCAGGTTCCTCAACAAACAACCTTCCACGGTGTGGGCAGCCGGGAATCGATAACCGCCCTCATACCAGTAATAGTACAAGAGACAAAATTGGTCGAAATCAAATCCTCACTACACCCCCTAATACCTCTCTTATCTTCACTACTAACTCTTCTGACATTCCTTTATCACACTGCACAGCTAATGCAAACGCTGCGAGTTTACGAAAAGTTATTCCTAGTCTCCTGAAACCCCATTCTAAACAAAATGTTGGAGCATTCAATGTACAGACATTGTGTCAAATAGGGCAACAGGCCTCATTAGGTAGGACTTCAGAATCTCGCTCATTCGATGTATGGTGCTTCTCGGAAACGCGTATACAGGATCCGAGTGGCGTCATTCACTTGACCTCATCATGTCACGATAACGAAGCAACTCCATTTACGCTTCGTGTATCTGGATGCTTCGATGCTGCTTTTAGGGGTCTCGCTGGTGTAGATTTAGCACTGAGTCGTAGGGCAGAACTAGCGCTCCCAGACTGGATTCCTGTAGATAGTCGTTTGTGCGCTGTCCGACTAAACGGGACAGTAAAGACTCAGAAAGATAGGAACATTCGCCGTCGCCTCTTCGTCGTATCTGCCTACGCCCCCACTGACTGCAGTTCAGATGAGGTGGAAGACGAGTTTTGCAGAAAGACTTCGGACGTCCTCCAAAATGCTAGGCACTCTGATATTGTAATAATGGCTGGTGACTTTAATGTTCAAGCATGTAGACTAAATGAAAAGGACAGATACCTGGGTGGACTCATGATGTCGCAGCTCAAAGAACAGATAATGACGATCTTCTGTTGCAACTATGCTCAGATAGCCACCTATTTCTAGCAAACACCAACTTTAGGCCTAAGGTCAAGCGTCTCTAGACATTGCGACCGCCGAATTCGTCAGAACGCTGGACCGAACTAGATCATATTGCCATCAGCCACCGATGGAGAGGTTCGATAAAAGACTGTCACTCGTTCTGGGGCGCATGTCTAGATTCAAATCATGCTCTAGTACGAGCACGTATTTGTTTTCGACTTACTGGACGTAGGAAAGACACCGCAAGGAAACGTCTTAGGATTCTACCTAATGATCGCACAGCTAGAAATATATTTCAGGAGCAACTAGAAAGATAGTTAGGCGACTATGTAAGTGATTACCATTCGGAAGTAGCTTGGAATGATATCAAGAAGGCTGTGGAAACGGCAGTGATGTCTAAAAGTAAGGTAAACCATAAGGCCAGGAAGAAGCAGTGGATCTCAGTGACATCCACCGAACTGATGGATGCTCAAAAACTTATCGATCCTGGCTCTGAACATGATAAAGAGCGAAGTTAGCTTCGGCGCATGCTGATAAAACGCCTACGCAAAGACTGAGAACAGTGGTGGTCGGCGAAAGCAAAAGCGATGGAAAAGGCAGCGGCGACAGGCAACAGTAGGCAACTATTTAGACTCATCAAGGAAACCGGTTTTAGAAATCCATCTGTTGGCGAAACTATCGCAGAAAAGGATGGCTGTATCATCTATTCTCAATCCAGGAGATAGGATTGATCGACAGAAAACTTTAGGGATCAGTTCAACTGGCCTTCAGCCACACTTCGGTTGCCCACGGTCCCCAGTCATCGTGAATGGCAAATCGATTTAAGTTCTCCTACTCTTTATGAAGTCGAGAAGGCGATAGGAAATCTAAAGCGAGATAGAGCAGGAGGTCCTGATAGGCTAACTCCTGAGATATTTAGGGATGGTGGCCCAGTTTTAGCAGCTAGGTTGATTGAGATCGTAGGTATAATCTGGGAACCGGACGTAATCCCACAGGAGTTGTCCTGATCCGTGATTGTCCCAATTTTTAAGAAAGGACAAAAGTCTTCTTGTGACAGTCACAGGGGAATAAGCCTAACTAACATAGTTCCTAAATCGTTAGCCTCAATTATCCTTAGACGCCTAACTAGAGCTCGTGAATATCAGAGTAGAGAAAATCAGGCTGGTTTTCGAGCTGGACGTGGATGTATAGACCCCATTTTCACACTACGATAGGTCCTGAAACACAGACACATATACAGGTTATCTCGCGACAAGTAGTCGCAATGTCACTGCAGTCGGCTAGCGACAGCAGCGGGCACGTATCAACTACAGCCAAAAATTCATTCAACTGCCGAAGCGGGTACCGGTTGGTGCGGATTACACGGGACCTTTAGGTTTGGTGCCCGTCGTTATCCACCCCCCTGCTCACACAAGGCGCGAAACTTCCGAGTAAACGTGGTCGTACTGACCGTCCCATCACCCTAGGCTGGCGTGCACGATATCCGCACTAACGCTAGGTACCTACTTGACACAGATGCCCAAGTTTCGGTCGTACCAGTAGGTAGCAACAAGTCTCGAACTATGATGCTTCGTCTACGCGCTGCGAATGGCTCTGTCATTTCTACCTATTGTATGCGACAGCTTACGGTCAACCTGAGCAATCGACGACAGTATCTGTGGTCGTTCATCATTGCATATGTTCCCACAGCTATAATAGTACCCAATTTTCTAC